CAATAATAGACTGATTTTTTTCCTGCTTGTCCGCTTTAGAAAAAAAACGCTTTACGTAGCATGTATTCAATTATTTTTCTGTAGCAGTAATATGACGTTCAAGTTTGAAATGCAATTTGGTATACCGACATTTGGAAAAATAGTCAGAAAGATTGCTGGCAATAAAGCGGAGGACAAAATTTGGTCAACCGAGGTTACCAATTAGATCTAAACTTCGTAGTCGCCAAAAATTGCGAAACTATGCAAGTCTTACTTTATTGATTTACAACATAGCCAAAAGTGTCCGTCATTTAACTTTTGCTTCAAAGTAACAGTCTTCTTACGATACATATTCTTTCTTACGTTGCTGTCACCCCAGATGAATTTTGAAACGCTGACGACCCTTTGCATTTTCGATTATCTACCCTCTGGACTAAGCCTGATTATTCAGAGTTTCTTGATTGAGACCACGCAGACTATTTATGTATACCTGTAGTAGCTCTAGGAAAGTGGAGAGGAAACATGGAGGGTAATTTCTGAATCTGGGAAAGCTCTCGAAGTGAGTTTATCCCGAAGTCGCCATCTCAATGAAGTTCGAACTAATATCCATCAAAAAATGGTCGTCATTATTTTGGCTATTTTCTCCTCAGTTGTTTACTCGAAGCGCACTACAGTATCCTCTACGTAAATACGCCAATGGACCTCAGAAAACGTCAGATTTCATCATAAACGTCACATTGCCTTTTGGGAGTTAATGCATATCTGCACTACGGTAGGCTGTTACGCTACAAGAGAAAATCGCAGTATTTTTGACCATTAGTGCAGAAGGAAAAAACACTTTCCCGTTGGAAAAAACAGTCGTATGTCGTCACACTGTGGACTTCTAATATCTCCTGCGTGACGAAGGCGGTTGCCCAAATAGGTTGAAGCGTGTCGCGCACGCGGCGCGCGGGCAATTGTCAGCCTTGGAGCGCGCGCAGGCTCGGTCAGCGGTCATCCACGGAGCGCGCGTCGCACGACAGCCAGCCGGCCACGTTATTGTTGCTAACTTTTGCTGTTATTGTGGACTGCGATGACTCTACTCGTCCAGTGAGGTGAGTTTTCACTTCAGTTTTTCTTATTATGTGACGTTTTGATACTAGATTTGTGTGCTGACTATTTTTCATGGCTTTGTGTGCTGCAACAACGGAATGCAGACACATAGCTTGTGCTATGTGTCTGCATTCCGTTGTTTGTGTGCTCTCCTTGTTCTTCATTGCTCTCCTTGCTTTTCGTTTCTTTTTTTCAATCTCCTTTGTAAACTTTCTGTTTGTTGTGAATGTTTTTTTCTGCATTGCTGCGTGAATGCTCGTGAGCAGAGGCAGATTTGTTTTTCCACAGCCCTGTCTCTTGACCCCTGCATGCTTTCAGTCTTCACCAGTGCTTGTAAGAGCTGTGCATCTTCGTTTTTGCTTCTTTGTGAGAAGGCAAAACCCTAGATAGCGTGGCTATCAAGCATTTTTGTTTTGAATGCATGCTGCAAAAGAAGACAGTGTATTTTCAGTGCAGTATATAATGTTTTCTGAAGGTAAGTCTTCTTCATAGCCTTTTACTGATTTTTCTAGTACTCTGCGTTGATACCACTGCTCCGTATGATACTTACGCATGTCACTGACCTGCACAGCGGCATGAAACATGCTTATGCTAGTGCAGCATCTCGTGTAGGTATTCCTCACTTCCTTTCATTTTCTTCTGCGCATTGTTTCTTGTGCCTGCATGAACCATTAGCAAAAAAGACATTCTTCTTCGCACCTTTCTTCGCAGTTCTTCACGAACCGCTCATACCAGCCATGCATCTTTGCTTTTGCTTCTTTGTGAGAAAGTAAACCCACAAGATCTTGTGGCTAAGAAGCGGTCTACTTAGAGCAAAAAGACACGTTTAATTTCAGATGTGATAGCGAATGTCAAATACACGTAAGTTTAACAAACCCAGTCCCATTATTTTTTTGTTTCTTTCTTTGGCGATCATTCTGGTACAATTACAAACTGACACAGAGTCCGGCTATCGTGAATGGTTTTTCACTGATACTTGATCCTTCAGAACCTCTTTGATCCTTCAGAACTTAGATTGTGTCAACTGTTTGTAATCGTTGTTTTCAATCTCTCCCACAATCCTTATGCGTTCACCGTTCAAGTTGATCAGGCCTTTCTGGTTTCCCTCCTTTTATGAACGTGAAACTTGAGAGACTGAAGAGAGAGATTGAAAACAACGATTACAAACAGTTGACACAATCCAAGTTCTGAAGGATCAAAGATGGTATTAGTGAAAAACCATTCACGATAGCCGGACTCTGTGTCAGTTTGTAATTGTACCAGAATGATCGCCAAAGAAGGAAACAAAAAAATAATTGGACTGGGTTTGTTAAACTTACGTGTATTTGATATTCGCTATCACATCTGAAATTAAACGTGTCTTTTTGCTCTAAGTAGACCGCTTCTTAGCCACAAGATCTTGTGGGTTTACTTTCTCACAAAGAAGCAAAAGCAAAGATGCATGGCTGGTATGAGCGGTTCGTGAAGAACTGCGAAGAAAGGTGCGAAGAAGAATGTCTTTTTTGCTAATGGTTCATGCAGGCACAAGAAACAATGCGCAGAAGAAAATGAAAGGAAGTGAGGAATACCTACACGAGATGCTGCACTAGCATAAGCATGTTTCATGCCGCTGTGCAGGTCAGTGACATGCGTAAGTATCATACGGAAAGCAATGGACCAATGAAAGCAAGAAGAAAAATCAGTAAAAGGCTATGAAGAAGACTTACCTTCAGAAAACATTATATACTGCACTGAAAATACACTGTCTTCTTTTGCAGCATGCATTCAAAACAAAAATGCTTGATAGCCACGCTATCTAGGGTTTTGCCTTCTCACAAAGAAGCAAAAACGAAGATGCACAGCTCTTACAAGCACTGGTGAAGACTGAAAGCATGCAGGGGTCAAGAGACAGGGCTGTGGAAAAACAAATCTGCCTCTGCTCACGAGCATTCACGCAGCAATGCAGAAAAAACATTCACAACAAACAGAAAGTTTACAAAGGAGATTGAAAAAAAGAAACGAAAAGCAAGGAGAGCAATGAAGAACAAGGAGAGCACACAAACAACGGAATGCAGACACATAGCACAAGCTATGTGTCTGCATTCCGTTGTTGCAGCACACAAAGCCATGAAAAATAGTCAGCACACAAATCTAGTATCAAAACGTCACATAATAAGAAAAACTGAAGTGAAAACTCACCTCACTGGACGAGTAGAGTCATCGCAGTCCACAATAACAGCAAAAGTTAGCAACAATAACGTGGCCGGCTGGCTGTCGTGCGACGCGCGCTCCGTGGATGACCGCTGACCGAGCCTGCGCGCGCTCCAAGGCTGACAATTGCCCGCGCGCCGCGTGCGCGACACGCTTCAACCTATTTGGGCAACCGCCTTCGTCACGCAGGAGATATTACGTAAGCTAGGGACTCTAGGCAAAACATACATCGCCGTCTGTGTTGCACATAGTACGCTTATGAGCTTGTGATGCAGAGCGGAAATAGCAGAAAAGATCATTTGTCTGTTACATGCATCAGCATGCAAATTACTGGGGCTTTTTATTGTAAAGCACCTTGATTCTTGAAGTTTGATCTTTCCCAACTAATGGGTGTGGGCTGCTCATGGGGATTTAGCAACTTCATGCAGATCTTGCAAAATAAACTAAGGTCGGTGAAAAGTTGCATCAAAATTTTGTAGCTCCCAGTTCATCCAGCGGCAAACTTCAAACAAATTCCCTTTTTGTAGGAAAGGGATAAACTGCTAAAAGATCACATACGTTTCACAGTATCTCTTCTCGCATCGGACACTGAATAAAACTGCAGAAAAGTCAGGGATAGGTACTCCGCGATTCGTTTTCACGTTCTATACAATAATATAATAAAAGCGTTCGCCTGCCTAGCGAGTGAACCTTATAAACTACCGAAAATAACCATACACATAATCTAGATTTTCCTTCCTTACTTGGAGTTCCGGGGAAGACCTAGAACTCATTTAGTAGAAAAAAACTCCGTATAAGTGAAGGAATGCATTGAAGTAAATGATGTTTAGTGTTCTCACAAAAAGTGGTTTAAGAGATACCTTCACTTGTAGTATAGATTATAAATAAAGATAAAGTAAGGCGCTTTGAAACGTTTTTATTCCAAAATTATTTAATTTACTTTAGTGTGCAAGGAGGTATCGAAAGTAGAAGACTGGCAGAATCTGCTCATTCATTCATCCTCAAATTTGATTTGATTTGAAGTTTTTTAGTAATAGAATTCGTGATCAGCATCAAATCAGCCTGAAGATTCTCAGTTACGGTGTTGAAAGTTTTTGGATGATGTGGTGCTCAGAACTTTTTCTTCTTAGAACTACCCAGCTTTTTTATTTGAAATTCAAATCAAGGTTCTGGCGAGATGCAGTACGCAGCGACTAGATATGTACTTGTCCATTTTTTCCTGTAGTATTTTCAGCAGCTCTCAAGAAAAAATTAACCTAAGTCTGGTTTCCTCATAAAAGCAGTTTGGGATTTGCTCCTGAACTATCTTCCAAGCTTAATATCCCACTCGAAAAGGACGAGAGATTTTCTGGTCGAAATACATCTCAACTAAGCTTGGAAGGGACGTTGCTAGTTGAATTTTGTATGAGCATCGTGGAGTTGGCTACATTTTTACCACTCGAAGTCTGAATTTTCCATCTACAAATATCCTGGGTATCCAACGACTATAAATCGGCATTCAGTATTTTTAGTCCTTGAGTTAAAATCGTTCCTACAAACTATCCTATTTTCCTACAAACTTACTGCAGTTGTGAAATTGCGTTGAACAGTAGAACTGCTGTTCCTTTTCTATATCTCTCTGTTGCATTTGTTCCAACATCGGAAAAGATCTTCAGATGATCAAAATTTTGAGCACATATTTATTTATGCATCATCAATACATCTTTGTACAAGAACACAAAGCAGATCAGTGGAAAGATATTGCTGAAAGGTTTCTGCAACCACGCTACCCGGAAAGGAAGAAACAAATAACAAATTAAACAGAAGTTCGTCGAGATTCTAGCCTTACTACGCATCAGTTTCGGCATATCGCGATAAGCCGAGCATGAGTTGGTGACCTAGTTGACTCAAATTCTGCAGAAATCGCTCGGATGTGAGGGCTTTGGGTAGCGAAGAGGTTTTGGATTGGTCGTAGAATTTTCCATGTGGCAAGGGATTCAAGGATGCTCGGGCGACATTTGCAGCTGCTTCTTCCTAGAAAAAGTGCGATTTAGTAAGGTAAGGCGGCTACCGTAACCATGTTACTACTCACCACGGTAATGAGCGATTTTTTGAATACGGTTAGTATCTTCCGCTGACGCTGGGGCAAATTTTTCGTGACATTTGTCATGGTGTTTCCGGGGTTTACAGCCACTGCAGTAACGCCATCGACACCATCCAACTGCGACGCCAAAAGGGTGATGGCGAACTTGCTCAGGGCGTATGCTCGCCACCCCGACTTTGCCTTGGGCGCAAAAAAGTCGATCCATGCAGCCCCGTCCTTCGGCAGTTTCCAGCCTGGCCATGACGTTCCGCACAGCCTGCAGCGATTGTTTTTTGCAATGTGCAAAAATTAATTGTTTATCACAGTTTGCAGGCGATCGCAGAGCGCACTGCTGTCAACAACGAGGTGCATGAGACTGCACTGATTGACTCACTTGAATAGAGTTGAAGAAACGCAAACAAAGTGGATGTTGTGGTTTGGGGGACGATTTTTGAGCAGCGCATCGGCTAGGTACATGTGGCCAAGAACATTCACCTAAAAAGATGCTTTTGGAAAAGTTTTTATATCGAAAGAGTATGCGAAACTCATACCTGTAGGCAGGTCTCAATTCCATCAGTAGTTTTTGACACTTCCGGAAACATAGTTCCGGCGTTGAAGATGACAATATCGAAGGTCCTAGAACTAAAAACGCATCACATACTTGATCCCACAGCCCTTACGTCATGTCTTGTTTTTTAAGCAAAAATAGCTTCTTCTTTTGTAGACGACTTCCCCTTCACTAAGTTCCAACGCAGAGGCAGAAGGATGTACTTCGCAGATTTTTAATGAGATCCGTTTTTTTGTCTAGTTCAAGGGTAACTCGCTACGGATATGCACAGTTGCAAAAATAATCCGCTAATTACCTTTTGCTCTGATTGATATCGTCGACACCGTCTAGTACCGAAGACCAAATTGAGAAGTCAATGTGTATGACGTCAACAGTAACCTAAAATTAATTAATTGCAGAGATTACTCAGAAGTTTTCTCTATGATCTCATGTCTAGCAATTTTATGTGCTTTGAGGTTGTAAATAAGTAGAGTGAGCTAAGGCCGCGAATCTCTTCTGTGTCTAAATAATTTCGTTTGATAGGCTGGTTCGTACGCTCTAAAAGTTTTTCAAAGCATAGCGTTGCACTTTTGGGGAAGATCTAACTGGGCGAATTCTAGATTTGCCAAATTAATTCGTTTATGTTTGAAAATTAGCTCTAGTCCTAGAATTTTTGCCATTCTTTCATGTTCACTACCCATTCATTCAGATTAAACGACAAAGTGCTTTTGGCTCCGTTATGACTGGATCTGCATGCACAAAAGTGCTAAAGTTACGAAAACATGGAAAACGTGAACTAAATATTTGCATGCACTACAGTTCAAGTTTTCCAACTTTATTTTGTAATGTAAAAATAAACAAGCTTTCTTTAGTGCATGGGCACTTTGCAGCAAGTGACCAAATGCTGGAATTTTCTGCTGGATTTTAGTTGTAAATAGAAACGTTGAGTGAGTTAAAATACTGGTTTTCGTTATTTTTGCTTCAATTGTTTTTTAATCCTATTTTTGGTTAGGGGAAATATTAGTACAATGATTTTGCCTCGAATGATAAGAGAATTTTATTCTTTCTGGTGGAATTTATCTCCTTCTATATAAGCATATCTGAATGTGGTGCCGATGAGTATTCAATTATAAGTGATTCGGAACCAGTCCTATGAATATTATTAGATTGCTGACTTTTCAAAACTATCAAATCAGGGATCAGACCTTTGATGCTAGCGCAACGTATAAGGCAACGAGTCGTAGATCCCGTTCACCTTTTTCCAGAAGTAAAAATTACAGCTGAATTATCCATATACGATATGTATAGGAATCCCCCTAGTTGAGACCCATTGATACAGCGCATAAAATTTCAGCTTGGGTTCTCAAGTTTGATTTGCCCCATCTCGATAGAATTAGAAGTGGAGAATTCTTGAACAAGTGTGTTATTTATGGTAGAACCATGAAGTACTTGTCATTGGCATTATGATAGTTTTTTTTTTGCATTTTTTCAGTACTATAACGAATTGGTTCTGTATCTTTTGCGTTTGCGGGCTGATATTCACAGATGTTTCCGTCTTCCAAGAGTATAAATACTTTTGAATTTTCAAGCATCTACCCAGCAATTTTAGAGGCTGTGTACCTATGGACTTGAACATATACCAAAAACTTACATTTTTCTCGGCAAGGAGCGCCCTGGTTGATTCTGCCTTTCCGTTATCTCGGACGGTGACCGTCACATCGTGGCCACCATTGGCTAGCTGTTCAGCAAGAGAAAGTCCTGGAACAAGCATGATTCTACGATTTTTCTCACAAAGGAGAGTTTTAAGCATTAGATTTGCAAAAGAATCCAGAAATTCGAAATGCTTAGCATACCAATTCCAGACGAAGCGCCAGTGATGAGCACACGTTTTCCAGCCATGTATAGAATGTGTATGTCTTCAAGAGGTTGAACGAAAGTATCAGAATTTTCCGTTCTTTTATACGCTCTTTAGGCGCCGCCCCTCTGCAGTGTTTTGCGGTTTGAGACAACTTATGTAATTTACTTTGGTAAACAATTCTATAATACTCCAGTGCATAGCCGCTAGGAGGCGTATCTCAGTGAAGAAGTCTCCTGAACCGAAGGAAGCTGTCGAAGATCGGATACAAAAGGATGCAAGTGCATGAAAAGTGCAATTTTTGTGCGTGCAATACGCTTCGAATGCTTGACGATGACCATCGAATATGACGTATGTTTTCGGCAAGTACAACTGTCTTCTGAAGAAACAGTCATTTTTCCGAATTCATTTTGCCTCCTTGATTGGTGTGACGCAGTTCGACTTGCGAAATGTTACCGTTTGATATGTCTTGCAAAGAAAAATAAGCTGTTAAACGAAAGATATAAGTCACTGAGATTAGGCCTCGGGCATACTTCACGCAGTCTCAGTCGCGACGGAATTTGACAAAATCCAAATACTGGCTATGCATCTGTAATTTGCCAGTGTTGGATCTGAAGAAATCTGGCAAACGGCCAAATCGCCGACTGAAGTCGCGTGAAGTATGCCTAAGGCCTTACTGTTGTTTGAAGGCTACTTTCCTCGCTGTTTCATAGAAATTTACGCAGCTAGCACATTGACGGTCATTCCTCAAAATTGCAATGACGACATGTAAATTATTTGTATATTTGAAGCGATATTTATCGTCTGTACCGTTCTGGACGGCATTTTCAATTGTGCATCCAAATCTACTGTACGGAAAAAATTACTGAGGAAAAGTGAAGAACATTCACGGGAGACGAACCTGCGACGTCATGCATCACAGTCAAAGCTAATAAGCACTACGCCAAGCTTCCACTTGAGCAATATCTTCGCCGAATAGTGTATTTGAATATGGATGGCAAGGTGCCAAGGAAAAAAATTTATCACCCCTTTTACAATCACCTCTTGACAGTGTGGGCTGTATCCATAACAAATTGTGGAATTTTGTATCCTTCCTTTGCAAGTAAAAAGCAAGAAGTGGAAAAAACTTTTATTGATAAAAATGTCCAGTAATATATTATAGATGTGTTTTTCGAAAATCAAGCACGTACCAAACTTCCGTTCCTCTCTACAGAGTATAGGATTTCAGGTCCTTTTCCGAAGCTCCTATAATATACGATAGTCATGACTGTAACTATACTAAGAGGCTCAGAGATAAAAGGAGACCTGTTAGTGATTTTTTGGATAAATCCAGTTGTTGTGAGTGATACCCAATTAATGTGTTGATAAGTAAATAAGTTGGTGTCAAGGGAAAATTTCTGCTGCTGACTTAAAATTTCTTAAAAATCTAAAAATTTATCGCCGATGTCATGTCTGTGCAAAAATGTCATGCAAGTTCATTTTCATTTAAGCCATGACGTAGGTTAGTCAAGAAAAACAACTTAATCTTCCACGGCTTGAAGGTCACCTCATAGTACCTCCTGGTGCTGCTGGAGCAAACAGATTTAGCTTATGCGGTTCTCAAAAACGGATTGAACAAGACGGTTAGTGCAACTGATCGGTAAGCTTTAGCAGAAGCGGATACTTATAATAGTACAGTATAGTACAGTATTTTTGTTTCTGTCAACAGACTTGCACTGATTATTTGTGTCCTGAGCTTAACGTTCAGAAGTATCACATGTAATAGTATATAGGAAGTATACAAAAAACGAAGAACTGTTCTCTTGAAAATACTTTGCAGCGTTAGTACGAAAAGTGCTAGCGATTTCAAAATTCTGCTATCATAGCGTTTCTGACTGTTTTAATTTTCAACTTCCATTTAAGGCTGCTTTCTAATGAACCTTGAAATAAAAATTTAAAGCATACTTCAAACTGCAAAGTTTTACGGAAGAGGTAGCATTCCCATATATGACAGGAAATAAATGATATACAAGATTGACAAAAATATTTTTTACCAAAACTTGTAAGCATTGAGAAACCAAAGCTCAGCTCCTGCGTCGTTTTTGCATTGATACCGTAACCTATCTTGTCGTCATATTTTTTCTGAATCAGCTGTCGAAAAAGATGTGTGAGCCACCTAAAGTTAAATTCAAAAAACTGATTCTATTTTTTCCAGTAGGGTACAGATTCACGATGTTCATGTGATTTGATCATCTTGCCCTTTCTCTTGACAGATGAGAAAATCTGTTAATCGCGATATGGTCGGTCGTTAATCACGTTTCGCAGGTGCCCAAAAAAAAAGCCGGAGAAGGGCTTCAACTCCGGAAACCCCATGTTCAGTTGTATCCCGGCAGTAATCTGCTCCCACGGCCTTTTTGCGCACGACTACGCTCTTTTTTGCCAAATGTAGTGAGGTACATACCGAGCTCCGTCAGCAGTATCTACGTGATTTCGTTCGGGCAACTAATTCAACGACTTTTCCAATTTATTCGCTGTGTTTGCAAAAAGTTGCACTTTGCCAAAGTTTTTTGAGTGCAGTCTCTTATGGACGGTAATAAGTGCAAATCGAGGTAAGGACGTGTCAGAAGAAGATTGAAATTTTCTCAACTGCACTTTTCATTGCCTGAATAAGAGAGTGAGATAAAACACTAACGGACGGCATAGAAAAAATGTTCGTTGCACTTGTGTTGGTACGTACCACAATTTCTTTTTTTTATCATTGTACGCTAATTTCCTTTTAATAGTGAGGGTAAAGCGAGAGGTAATGAACTGGTTAATTCAAGTACTTTTCCTTATGCAAGCAACAATTGTTCGGCCTCAAACAGCTAATGTACTCCAATTGTTCAAAGATTATTTCGAATGTTCGGTAACCATACTAAATTAAGAAAAATGGCTCTCAGCTTCTTTAGCATGGTAGCTCACATGTGACCTGATACGATTCTTCGTAAAAATTCGGCAAATTCATCATGCTTTCTAGCTATAAGGGAGGAGAAGCTTGGGGGCAGAGACTATCTAGAATGAGAAATATGATAGAACCTAAATTGTCGAATTTTCACTCTATATGATATTGTGAAAAGGGTTTTCACCAGTTTGCATCGATGTCTTGGTGAGGAGCGTTAAAACCAAAAAATCTTGCGAATAATGCAATTTTTGATCTGCATATGCATGATGCCTTTTCTGAAATTTTTTTGAAATTTTTGAGCGCTTTTTGCAAACATCCGAATGGCCTCTTGATTTTCGAACCGCAGCTGTGTTTCGAATCAAAGTTACTGCAAGAATCCAAAAGGACTGAACAGAAAAAGGTACTATCAAGTTATGTCCATCGCAGAAATTACGTAAATTCTGTTAGATTGATGTACAATTCTAACACCAAAAAACAGAAGAAATTCGTTTCAAAAATGCTCAAACAAACTAATCAATCAACACAACATGCTCTAGGTTATGTATATCAAAGCAGTGTTGTATAGTGCATTTCAGAATATCAATTTGAATCAATAAGGCAATCAAAAACCCACATAAAATCATAACTACTCGTAGAGATATTCATTCACTAACACCTTTTTTGGCCAAAGTAAGTTATGAAACCAAGATAATATCAAATTCAGCATTTAGTAGACGTTTTAGCAATTTTGGCGACCAAAAATCGAAAAATCACTTCATGAATACTTTTTGTTTCTTATCTCAGCTTGCATTGTTGCCTTATGTCGTCAAGAAAAATTTTCTCAAGCGAATGCAGAGAGCGCAAGATTTCTCCATTATGTATCAAATCTAAAGATATCATTAAAGCTGGAGAAAGTAACAGAATTTTGAAAATTTTGATGCAAGAATTATGCATCAACCTAATACTTGAGGCCTTCACTTATGGCCCCAATGCGCCATTTTGCAAGAAAAAAGGATAAAAAAGTGCAAAGCTTGTGTTATTCTGATCTTCAAATCTCGGGTTCTATCATTTGCGTCTTCTTGCGAAACTCCAAGACCCCCATGCAAATGATCAGCATCATATCGAATCATCGGCCGAACTTAAAATTCCTACCACAGTACTTTATCAAAGATTCAGATTTTCAGCCGATTTCTATCAAAAAATTCACGATTGCCTTGCAAATAATTTAGGTAAAGTTCTAAGCGGTGCTTCAAAGCTACATTTTCTTTGATGACTCCGACAGGGCTAACCCTTCTTTGTAAGTTGAGTAACACAAGTACGATAATTATGGTAGAGAAAAAGTGAAACACAGTTCACTAAAGACAGAGACATACTAAGTTTTTAGAATCTCAAAAGGTTTTTCCCGGGGAGATATCAGTACTTCAGATTTCAGCCAGTAACGATTGCTCGTAAATAAATCAGGTAAAGTTTCAAGCGGTGCTTCAAAGCTACAAGTTTCTTTGAAGACCCCGATTTAGCTACCTCCTCTTTGTAAGTTTGGCACAAGTAATGTTTTTGGAAGAAGAAAAGGGAACAATGCACCAAAAGGACGCCTCATTTTAGTCTCTTAAGAAGTCTTTTCGTGAAGTTATTAAAGTTGCCCAGAATACTGCTGATAGGCATAGAAAAAATAAAGTATATGAACGGTTACTGTTTATCGGAAGTGAGTTGTTCTCAGACTATCCTGAAAGATCACAAAAGCAAACATTTGCCTTGAGGGTTACTGGCATCCCTAGTTACTGGCACTAACCAATATTTGACAGTCATTTTTAGGAAGTGTTCACTGTTTCTGTTTCGAGTAGCACTGTAATAAACCTCTACTTTGAACTTTGCAAGGCCGTGCAGAACTATTTTGTCCATTCATCGGCAGAATGCGCCATTCATATCATTGTGCAGAAACTTGTTGAAGACTAGAACAAACTTGGAATTGAACCTTGTGATCTGCACATAAGTTTTAAAGCAACTTGATCTTTATTATAGCCATTCATCAACTTTCCAAAAGTTTCGCGAACCCCACTAATTGAAAGTGCAGAACTAGAATTTGAAATGTCATTCTATAAATCTCTCAATTTTTTTCGCTGAGCTCAGTGATTTTGTAAAAACAATATGCGTCAGATATTTT